GTTTCAAAGCCAGCCGGGCCTCCCTAGGGAGTTCCAGGCCAGCTGGGGCTACAGGGAGACCCTGTCTCAAAAAGACCAAAAAAAAAAAAAAATTCACAGAAGGTGAGCTCTGAAGGGCTCCTGTGGATATAGAGCAGCCTAAGCTTTCTTTGAGATGAGGAGGCAGGTGACTTGTCAGGTCATCCTGGGGTACCTGGCAGAGCGGATGGTGCATTGTTCCCACTGGAAAAGCCGGGACTGCACCTCCTGCTCTGGTGGAATGTGTAACCTCGGCTGAGGAGTGACAGCTGCAGCTGCAGGGAGGGGTATGCTTTCAGGAGCCCAGCAAGCCACATATATGTGCCACCCGCACCCCAGACTCTATACTGGTTTTTCCAATATGTTATGAAGAAGGTAGAAGGCAGAGTGACGGGATGCCAAGTAGATAGCGTTTGTCTGTGGTAATGCTTCTTGTTTTGTTTTGCTTTGTTTCACTGAGACAATGCTCACTCTGTAGCCCAGGCTGGTCTTAAACTCATGATCTTCCTGCCTCCACCTCTCAAGAGCTGGGATTAAACGCATGTACTACAATTGCCCAGCTTCCATAGTTTATTTCATACTGGAATGCAGGTCTGTATAAGTTTGATCACCATGCTGTACTCTGGGTAAAGCATTATAGGTCAAGGTTCTGCAGGGAGACACTAGACACTATCTTCAAGTCGTGTCCAGGAGCTAGGTCCTCCCCAGGAGCTGCTGCTCTTTTTTTTTTTTTTTCCAGTCTTTTTGAGACAGGGTCTCCCTGTAGCTCCAGCTGTTCTGGAACTCACTATGTAGTCCAGGCTGGCCTTGAACTCACAGAGATTTGCCTGCCTCTGGGATTAAAGGAATGCGCCACCACGCCCAGCAGGAGCTGTTGCTCTTGGGGGACCTATATCACCCCAGCTCCCCAGCTGGAGTGTGTGCACAGCTGTTTTTTTCAAGGCGCTCATGTGTGGCCATCTGACTAGATCCCATTTTGATATGAGCTTGGGGCTTTAGTCTCTTGTTTTACTAGTATTTTCAGGTTATGCCATAATAGTGCCATGCTGATGCTGGGGTCTAGCAAGATGGCTCAGGGGTGGCCCACGATAATGCTGCATGTCATGGCAATGCACCACATGTAAAACAGAGGATGTGCTTATGTCAAAATGTTAAGGCTCACAGATTTTCTTTCTTCCAGTTTCCATAATCTGTAATAATTCAGATTAAAATATAGGTATATAACTTAGAAACCAGTTTGTAAACTGATTATATTTAATGAGCTTTTTTTTTTGGCCTTTTTTGAGACAGGGTCTCCCAGTAGCCCCAGGTAGCCTGGAACTCGCTATGTAGACCAGGCTGGCCTTGAACTCACAGAGATCCATCTGCCTCTGCCTCCCAAGTGCTGAGACTAAAGGCATGCACCCCCATGCCTGGCAATTTTTTAGTATTTTATTTATTATTTTTATTTTATGTATTTGAATATATTGCCTGTATGTGTGTAAGTATACCCATGTCATGCAATGCCCTCAGAATCTGAAGAGGGAGTTGGATCTCCTGGAACTGGAGTTTACAGATGGTTGTTTGCCACCATGTGGGTGCTGGGAATTGAACCCAGGTTCTCTGCAAGAGCAGCCAGTTTTCTTACTGCTGAGCCATCTCTCTAGCCCCTTAATTTTTTATTTATTTATTTATTTTTGATACAGAGTGTTACTTTGTAGCCCAGGCTGACCTTGAACTGATGATCCTGTCTCAGCCTCCTGAATGCTGAGATTACAGGCTTGTGCCTACTATGCCTGGTGTAACTTTAAGTGCTCATTGGAAAGCTTTTTTGAGGGGGGTGTCTTTTTGAGACTGAATCTCTTTAGTCTTTTTTGGGGGGGTCTTTTTGAGACAGAGTCTCTCTGTAGCTCTAGCTGGCCAGAACTCATTATGTAGACCAGGCTGGCCTGAAACTCAAGAAGATTCAGTGACCAGTGAGTAAGGTCTGAATAAGGTCAGTGGGTCACATCAATGCCAATGTTCCAATCATGGCAGTGACTCTGGCTTACAAGCTGTTAACACAGCAAATAACTGCAGAGTGGCATATAGCGTGTTCTCTGTCTCTCTCACTCACGCATTCTTTTTCTCTTTTTCAAGCTAGGTAGGGGTAGGAGTGGTATGGGCAGTAAACTGAGGGCCGTAGAAGCTTCTAGAAGCTGGACAAGGCAGGAAGCAGTCCATATTAGACTCCTGGCACCTGTAGGTAACTTATTACTTATAGTGCACGGACAAGGGTTACTTTTAGGATCGTGGGCGACCTCAAAGGAGCCACATCATCCCATATGGATGATGACTTCCCCAAAGCTGCATAGATGGAGTTTCCCTTTCAGTTAGTCTCCCATACTCCACTTACTCTGGCACTTCTTGAGAACATTCAACTGGCAGGGAGGGGCAAGAGGGAGTGGTTGATATCTCAACTGAGGATCTAATGACCCTCCCTAATACTTACTTCTCTGAGAAAACATCAGTAGGCCCAGTCTTGAGTGTTTCTTAGGGTAGTCATATCTGCTCTCAGATGGTAATGGTTGTTAAGCTCTAAGGACAGCATTCTGTAGCATATATGCAGCAGAAAAGTGTAAAGCTGCTAACCCTGAAGCCCACTGAGGTGGCTGGCACCCTCACCTGCATTCTGGGGAGCACCTATCCCAGAGCTGACCCACCCTGGCCTGGCCTTTGTCCTAGAGAGGGCACTTTGCCAGGTCTTGAGTTTTCAAACCAACCATGTCTAGCTGTCCTCCAGTCAAGGCTTTGCTCTCTTGGTGAGCTGGCCCCTTTCCATGAGTGTGGATCACTGAAGTGAGCACATTACTAGACAGATTGGGCTATCACAACTGGAACTGCCAAGACCCCAGCTTTATTTTGGGGCAGCAACCAGGACATCTGTATAGTGTGCCACCATGTATCATGGCTTAAAGCAATACATCTTGAGTTTCCTACAGACTCTAGGAGTCTAACATGGTCAGCATACTGTTTCCTGCTTTGTCCAACTTCTAGAAGCTTCTGTAGCCCTCAGCTCACTGCCCATGCCATTCCTGCCCCTGCTAATCTTGAAAGAGAGAAAGAATGAGTGAGTGAGTGAGTGAGTGAGTGAGTGAGTGAGTGAGTCAGACAGAGAGCACGCTATATGCTATTCTATAGTTCCTTGCAGTGTTAACAGCCTGTAAAACAGAATCACTGTCATGACTGGAACATTGGCATTGATATGACCCACTGACCTTAATTCAAATTTCTCCAGTTTGTTCTCAGTCTTTTTTAAAAAATGTATTCTCCCTGCCAGGCGTGGTGGCGCATGCCTTTAATCCCAGCACTCGGGAGGCAGAGGTAGGCGCATCTCTGTGGCCAGCCTGGTCTACATAGTGAGTTCCAGGACAGATGGGGCTACAGAGAGACCCTGTTTCAAAAAAGACCAAAAAAAATGTATTCTCAAAAAATTCTTTGAGAATCAGTCAGCAAGCAGCTGTATTGGACAGAAGCTCATTGCTCCCCTCCTCCTACTTGGAGTATCCTAAAATGACCTGCACATTCACTAATGTTTGTCTCCCCATCCCTAGATGTGGACCTGACTGTCACCGAAGCCAGCAACTCGGACAGCAGAGGGGAGAGGGCTGAGCTCTACACACAGGTGGATGAGGGCCTCCTGGGAGGAGAAGCCAGCTACCTGGGCCAGCCCCTCACCCCAGAGAAGGACGAAGCACTGCACCAGGCCACTGCAGTGGCCAACCTACGTGCAGCACTCATGAGTAAGAACAGCCTGCTGTCACTCAAGGCTGACGTGCTCGGGGACGATGGCTCACTGCTGTTCGAGTACCTGCCCAAAGGTGCCCACTCACTGTCCCGTAAGTGCAACCTCTGGTGTGTCGCTGTATCCTGCTTTGGTTTTAAGTACTGCATTTCAGCTCTCAGACCCAGATGCCCCTAAGGATGATGTGGCAGATCAGCTGTGGGTTATCACCACCTTCCAACTACCTCAAGGCCTTTCAGAAGGTGGACTGGCTTTGAGTCCTATGAGACCAAGGACCAGTATGCTTGCTATACAGAGCAAGAAGGGAATTGGTATGTGTTGTCAGGAAGCAAGAGGAAGCAGTGAGTGCTTGTTGGAATGTTTTGTGCTCAAAATTGAAGCATCTAAAGTTAAAACCCACTGAGCTTAAAAGTACAGACAAGTAGTAAACCTAAAACCACAAGTTCCTGCTGAGCCAGTGGCAGGCCTGGTGCAGAAGCTAGTCTTTGTGTCTACGGAGTGGGTATGGGCTCCCTCTGCTGGCCTTTCCACCCATCCTTTGTGCTGGGATTTGTTCTGTGTGGGAGACATGCAGAGAGCCGCTTGTGCAAGCATACTGACCCAGGGATGCTCAAGCTTGCCTTGTTCTTGCTAGAGAGTGCTGGTCATGTGTGTGTTTTTAGAAAGGACTTGGATGCTGTATTTAAGACCTCCGTGTCCCCAGACTGAAATCCAGACCACAGACTGATCACACTGCAGGTGCAGGGCAGCTGCAATGCAGCTACAGCCTTCTACTCAGTCTTTCCTTGAAAGACAGGAGGCCTTAGCATTTGTAGAGCTCATAGCCCACAGAGCCAGCCCCAAGACAAACTGCTTCCCTGATCACAGCATGCATGGACCATGACAGCTGCCTGTGTGATGCTGGGAGAGGGGTGTTGACTGCCTTGGGTACCAACCTAGCTTTGACACTTCCTGTTTAGCTAGTGCTCAGTATGGGTGTGAGAGAATGACTTTGCGCCTCTCTTTCTGGTGGAGAGGAAGAGATACATCTCACACTGGAGACACTGAAGAGGGGATACAAGGGGTGCCCTGTCCCAGGGGATCCAGGAGCAATGGCTGTAGTGATTGGTTGTCCTACATGCCAATGAATTACAGTAGTTTCCAGTTGGCTTTGATGCTGGCACTTTGAATTGTGTTTATTGTTGTTTCCAAGAGCACTAAAAATTCTTTTGCTGGGATTTTGTATTGGTCTGAGGAGTTATACAAATTGCTTATGGATAATAAAGATTCAAGGTGGAACATAATGTCTGCTCTCTTTATTTCTAAGGTCTCAATCAAGTGGCCATGGAGGCAAGCCTGGGGCTGCTTCACTGGCAGTGTGCACTGATGTTAAGCCTGCTGTCAAAAACATTTTTAGGCCTTGTTCCCACATCTGAGAAAGGGGAGCAGGGCTAATCCACAGCTGTTATGATAGTTAAACAAACGGCATCAGAGAGTGCTCAACAGCCTGGGCAAAGCAGCATGATGACTGATGATGTCTCAAAGGCAGAATGCATTTGTGGGCAGAGATTGTTGGATTCCTCAAGGTCCCAAAGTATTAGGAGAGTTCATGGAGTTGGTAACACAGAATTTGGGGCGCCTGGAATTCACAAGAACAGGGGAGTTCTGGGATGTAACAAGTTCTGTAGGTAACATGGAGCAGTGGAGGTGGGGCAAGGCAGGGGAGCTCTGGTACCTTCTCCTCTGATGGGATTGTCATTCATGCTGCAGTGTCTGGACTCTTCTCACTCTTTCTTCATGCTTGTGGGTCATGTGTGTCCCAAATAGTGTAAATTCCTTCTTCCCCAGTGCCCTGGATACTGTCTTATCATTAAGAATGATTTTGGAATGAGGTAAATGGTTTCAATTGTTTCTGTGTCTGGCAGCTTCACCTTGGCATGGGCTCTGTCCCAAAGAAACTTGGGCCTGTTTGTGCTGAGAACATGGAGTAAATGGGGTCAAAGGGCACAGCCAGCCCCAAAAGCTGACTTCACTTCCTGAAACAGGATCTGCTATGGTGTCTGTAGGTCTGACCTCAGGGAGCTTGAGGAGAGACCCTTCTTGTCCTGTTGTCTAAGTGAGCCCTGTCCAGGCCCTTTTCACTGCAGGAAGTGTTGTGACCAAGTCAGGGTAGTGGCTGTGCATTTTCTTCTCAGATCTCTCTACTGGTAGGAGTTACTGCTTCTCTGTATTCAGGAAGCTTGAAGGAGCTGTAGGGCAGCAAGGTTATGACCTCCTCTGGGGCTCCTCGCATGTACCCTGCTGCTAGAAGGAGCCAAGACTGGGAAGTAAGATCTCATTATGCTTTGTCCTCCCCAGGTAGAGTCAGCTGGTGCATTTTGGTATTTTCTTATTTCTATGATGTTTTAATATCATTACTTTTTTTGGGGGGGGGGCCTTTTTGAGACAGAGTCTCCCAGTAGCCTCAGCTGGCCTGGAGCTCGCTATGTAGACCAGGCTGGTCTTGAACTCACAGAGATCCACCTACCTCTGCCTCCCGAGTGCTGGGATTAAAGGCGTGCACCACCATGCCTGGCTTATCTTGCTTATAATCCTAAAATTGCCACTATTTTCATATGAATCTGCCCTTCTATTTTCATACATAGGGTTAGAAGTTGGTAGAATCATGCTGGGCATGGTGGTACTCAGCTGTGCTCCTAGCACTTGAGGTGGAAACAAGAAATGAGGATAGGTGAGACCCTGTCTAAAAGAGCCTACTGCTGGGTGAGAAAGAGCTGATCTTGAAGGGAGCAACTCTAGGTAGGCTGACTAAACCCTGGTGGATGAACTTGCACTGAGTAACATTTTGGGACACTAACTTTACATAATAGACCTTAACACAAACGACAGAATGCATGAACTCCAGTGGGGGGCGGGGCTATGGGAGGGTGCCAAAGGGAAGGAGGGAAAGAAGATGATTTTATGTATGAAATACACAAAAATTCAATTAAAAACAAAACAAGCCTGGCATGATGGCTCATGCCTTTAATCCTAGCACCTGGGAGGCAGAGGTAGGCAGATCTCTCTGAGTTCAAGGCCAGCGTGGTCTACAGATTTTCCAGGCCACCAGCTGGGGCTACAGGAAGACCCTGTCTCAAAAGATCAAAAAATGAAGAGAGAGAGAGAGAGAGAGAGAGAGAGAGAGAGAGAGAGAGAGAGAGATCTTTGAGGGTTGGGGTGTTAACCATGGTCTTTGGCTAGGTGTGGGTTCATGGAGACACCTGCTGGGCTGGCAGAGGCTGCAGAATGAGGAGGTTATTTTAAATATAACTCTCTGATATCCTAAGTAGAGTCTGCCTGGTTCTATATAGCATTAGAATGAAACATGGAAATATTCACGAATGAACCCTTATTTTCCAAATACATGGTCGGCCTCACTGTGGCAGGATCTACAGATCTACACAATGTCCATGGTGGACAGCAGTGCATGCACCCCAAGACAGTTGGCTGTGGGGGGCGTAGCATGGGGCCAGGGCAGGTTGTGCTGGTTCTGCCGGTGACGGGATCTGTAGTGGTAAAGTGAAGTGGTGCCTGGGTACCCTTGTACCTGCAAAGTGTGCAGCAGTGTTAGTGGTGTAACCTGCCACACTACATGCGCCTGTGCAAATCAGAAGCAAGGACATATCAGTGGGTTATGAGTGAGGTCTTTTTCTCTGTGCAGATATCTGTTGCTCCAGACACAGGGAAAGCGTCAAGCCCACCAGAGCTTGCTTATCATTTTGCTGACACTTTGGGAAGTGTGCAGTAGACAGGATATTGTGTTTCTTCATTTTACTGCCCATGGGCTGGGACTAGGCTGTGATGAGTTGGGGAGGGGGTGACTCAAGTAGGAGGGACAGCTCTGTTCCACAGACCCTCCCATGTACCCTGTCCCCAGCTCACCTTGCAGTTCTGGAAATGAAACCCCCAAGCTGTAGGTGCTCTGGAGGTCTTTTGTGGGAAGCTACCTTCACACCGTGCACCCAGGAATGCCAACATGTTCAAAGAAAGAAATGAGGCTGGGTGTGGTGGCGCATGCCTTTAATTTTAGCACTCGGGACTCAGAGGCAAGAGGATCTCTGTGAGGTTGAGGCCAGCCTGTTCTACATAGTGAGTTCCAGGCCAGCTGTGGCTACAGGAAGACCCTGTCTCAAAAAAGAAAAACAAAACCCTAAAAAACAAACAAAAAACCCACCCCCACCCCCCAAAAAAGCAAAACAAACAAACAAAAAGCCTGGTGTGTGGGTAGGTGTTTTTCCCCTTCCTTCATTGGGAAGCTCAGGGAGCTCATACTTTGACTCAGGTGAACTCTAGAGAGGCACATGAGAAAGACCACCCTGTGGCAGTGTCAGGTCCCTGGACACTATGTCTGGCTGGACTTGGCTTTGTGTTGGGACTCAGGATTGCCACATGCATTGTTTATGGAAAGCTCTATCTAGTCGGGGCTGAGATTTCTACTGGGGTACCTGAAGGGTATACATCCCTGTGGAAGTGAAGTGTTAGGAAAAGGAGACAGCAGAGCTCCTTGATGTGGTTTGGCAGCTGCTTTGTGGTATAGGACACATACTGCTCATAGGCTGGTATAGATGCAGTCTGTCAATTTTGTATAAAAATTGAATAGTAGTTGCAGATTTTATTATTTTTGTTATTTTGTACTGGGGATTGACCCCAAGGCTATGAGTATGGTAGGCAAACTAAACTACAACCATTTTTTATTTTTATCTTGAGACAGGGTCTCAAATTTTTTTAAAATCTTGAGACAGGATCTTGATTGCCTAGTTTGGCCTTGAACTGGCTATATAGCTTAGAAAGATCTCAAACTTGTGATCCTCCTGCCTCAGTCCCCTGAGTATTACAGGCCTCCACCAATGTACCTGGCTAAGTTGCAGATTTTTCTCTTTTATTATCATTTGTTGTTTGAGGCATGGTTGCTGGCTTGCTATATAGCAAAGGATGACCTTGAGCTTCCAACTCTTCTGTCTCCACCTCACAAGAGATTACCATCAAACCCTGTACTTGTAGGTTTTTAAATCTAAAGAAACATTACCTGTGTGGACAATGTACAGACAGTACAAAACAGTGGCTCCTCAGAGATCG